TGCCCCCGCTGCCCGCGGAACGCGTGAGGTGCTTCCCCCGGCGCTGCGGGAGGGCGCCCGGCGGCGATCGCGCCTCGTTGTTGTCCCCGTGTCCCCCTCCGCTCCCGCAGCGGAGCTTAAGTGCTTGGTGCCACCTTCTGCGGGCTGGTTGTGTTTCAAACGCCTTTCCCCTACCCCGGCAGAATAAACTCCTGTTTTTATTGAAGCCGCGGCCGCATGTGTCCGCGTTCCGCCCCCCGCGGTGACTTGGTGGTCGGTCTGCTGCTCGCTCTCTGCGTGCTCTTCGCTGGGTCCCAGTCACATCGCTGCAGGATGTATTATTTTTTTTTTTTTTATCAGCCGTGTATGATTGATTTACGTAATTGCTCACCCACACCTGCATTATCCATAATTCTGTAGCAGATGTATAGGGTGTGGAGTGTTGGGCATGGTGGTTTGCCAGGGGTGTGTCTTTTCATTTTTCTGTATCTGTATGTATATGGGGATGTATTTATACACACACGCACACGGAAACATCTGATCGGATCAAATTGTTTAAGATTTCTTTGTCTGCACTGACCTTGTGGTTTAAACACGCTTTTCTGTAAATAGCAGGACTGGTGTTCAAGGGGAGCTCTATTTCTGTTTTAAAGGGCGTAATTGGGAATTACAGCCATTATTGATTAAAGCATAAGTGTGCAGAAGAAAGGGCAGTGACTCTCACTTCACCCTCCCCCATCCAAAATTAATAAAGCTGAAAGTCTCTTAAAAGAACATCTCTTCACATAAACTTGTGGTGTGGTTGGTTTTTTTTTTTTCTGTCTGTGCATGTGTATGTGTTTGAGACAGTTTGAGTAAGTGAAACAGCAGACCTAAGAAAAATCCATTTTTCTTGGCACAGGCATTGCTTTTGAGATACAGTTTCTGTATTGTGAGTTCTGGGATTGTTTAAATATGAATAAAAGGTTCTCACTGGAACTAGAACTTAAGTAAAATAACTTGCAAATAATTTTTAACGTGGAAATGATGGTAGTATAGTCTCAATCTTAAGTTGTAGCACCCAAGTGATACTTTGTGTTTAGCCTATAGAGAAGTGTCAGTGAACTGTCACAGCAAATGTTATTTTCACTGAAGTGGAGTGTATGTGTGTATGTATACTGAGGATGAAACATGTAGATTAGTCTTTTTCTTTTATATGTGTGTATATATACACACACAGACATATATATACACTGCACTATATATATGTTAGGTACCTTTAAAGTATTTACAAATCAAAATGTTACATATATACATAAGCACATGATCCTGTGCCAACGTAACAAAATAAGTGGGGAGCTGTAACCAAAGCAGGGTAGTTTCCACTGAGGCCCCACACTTGCAGTGGTTAGCCTTGGGTGCTTGTTCTAGTCAAGCACATGAACAGCTCTCAGAAGTTGTTGAGCACATCCCCTACATCTTTGCAGCATCAGGGTCTATCTCTATAATCACTGGGTTAGTACAAACTTCTGTAAGCTAAAGAGCGTCTGTAAATTGTTCTGTATTTCCTTCTACTCTTTTACAGCTGGCCTGAATATATTTTTTTGTCTTAATGGTCACACAATTATGAGTGATTGTGCCAATGCTTGTGCTTGCTATTTTTTTTTCTTTTTATTGGAAATCAATGAGAGAGACCACTTCTAAATTAGGTCTGTGTATGTGTGCTATAAATAAACTATCTGTGCTTTGCTGTTCTGCAGGCAACTGCAAATCTGGGTGGCTCCTAAATTAAAAGAAATGTGTTTTGAATCTAATGATCTTTTGATCATTCTAAATTCTTTTTTCATATTTGTTTCTTTTATTTTATGCAAGGAGTATGGTGTATTTAGTCTTGTGTTGGTTGTAAGAGGAACAAGAATATCTGCCTCCTTGATTTTATTTCAGAACATGTGAAGTTCCATGTCTGTGAACTATATTGTACAGCTAGGATCATTTTGGTCAGATCTGATGGGTTTTTGTCACTGTCAAACATGGGAGACAACAATTGGTAATTTGCCCATTGACACTGAGTTTATCATTCCTTCAGTGCTAGTTTTGTAGGCAGAAGAAGCTGTCAGACTTAATTAATTTAAATATTAGGCCTCGGATGTTAGTAATACGTCTTGCAAATTTTACAGAGCGCTAAAGTAGCTTGCTCATTGAAAAATACTAGTTTCCTGTCTCCCTCTAATCTTTTTTTAATTTAATGACATTTGAGCACTTAGGTTGGTTCACAGTATGTACAGTATTTGCATAAGGGCAGCTGAAGTAATTTATTACAAAGTTTTTTGATTGGAATACGCAAGGATTTTTCAACAGTGGGCTTGACCCACCAAGTGGTAGTCCTGATTCTCATCACCAACCTGCAACATTTATTCCTCCGGGAAGTTCTTAATTTTTTATTTGTTGACGACTGGTTGCTCTTCTGAAATGGCACCTCTTGAGGTCACAGCTAGAACAGTTTAGTGGGGGCGAACAGTCTAGAAGGTAGACTGGATTCACATAACACCTGAATATAACATGAGAAAAAGTAGAAAGTTGATGCGTTTGTTCCTTTTTTCCAGTAGCTCAACTTTGTCACGTCATTTTCAGAGTTCTTACTGAATTTGAACAAACACTTTTTAATGTTTGCATATTGCTAGCAGTTGGTTTCATGAGTGGCATTTCTACGGTATATAAAAGCCTAACTTCTAAACTAGGTTTTATGGCTTGGTAGAAGAGTTAGCTGTAAAATGAACATGTGAATGTAGCATGGTTTCATTCAAACATTTTTCTTAACCTGGGACATAGTCCTCTAAGTGCCATGTATAGAATGCGAAGCCTCAATGTGACCTCCCTTAAAATGTTTAAGCTTCTTAAACTTTTTCTCGTCTCATGTGTATCCCTTAGGTTGCACTTCAGGATGTCCTTTGGGAGAGACATGGAGCTGGAGCATTTTGATGAGCGTGATAAAGCGCAGCGATATGGCAGAGGGTCCCGGGTAAATGGTTTGCCCAGCCCTACTCACAGTGCCCACTGCAGCTTCTACCGAACCCGTACTCTACAGACCCTGAGTTCTGAGAAAAAAGCCAAGAAAGTTCGTTTCTATCGTAATGGAGACCGGTATTTCAAAGGGATTGTATATGCTATCTCCCCTGACCGGTTTAGATCCTTTGAAGCTCTCCTGGCTGATCTGACCCGAACTCTGTCTGACAATGTGAATCTGCCCCAGGGAGTAAGAACAATCTACACGATTGATGGCTCCAAGAAGATTTCCTCCTTGGACCAGCTAGTAGAAGGTCAGCAGTAAGATTTGGAGGTGTAAAGTTATGCTTGAGTCAGTGTTTGTTTGTCTAAACTGTGAAGTCTTGTGCAAATAGGTAATGGTATTGTTGTTCTTATTGATAAAGAAAGGATGTTCAATGGTATAACGAGAACTGTGATTATCTGAAATTGTGCCATGAAATACTGTTGTCTTGCTACTTATTTCCCTCTTGTTGAAAGTGTCTGACCTTTCCCTTTCTGTTAACCTAGTGTTGATAGTCCTGGATCTTGAAGATCGCATCTACTGCTTCTTTTGAACTTGCATATTGGGAGTTTAGTCAGTTAAACTTGAGAAGGTCCGTGGTGCTGATGAAACCTACATGAAATTCAGTTCTGATGGATTTTTTTTTTTTTTTTTTTAAGTGTGAGTGTACCTACTGAAGAGCTCCAACTCTTCCCTACAAGTAAATATGCCTTGAGTTAAATACTCTCCTCTCATGGACTGACATAAATGTCAGCAACCTGTTAAAGGAGTAATATTGTAGCTATGGTTCAGCTGGGGTAGACTGTAAACTTTTCTCCCCTGTGGCATTTCCCTTTTCCTCATACCGTGGATTTGTCTCCTTTAAGTGTCACAGCAGAGGAAAGCTTTTCAAGGAGAAGTTTTGAGAAGAAAATGTTCTTGATAATCCTCCTTGCATAAAAGGAGAGTGGGAGACAACATGAAGATGATAAAAAAGAAGATTGAAGTGGTGGGATTGTCCATGCAAGTAAGGGTTTTTGGGGTTAGGACCACAGGTTTAGTGAAATGGAAAGGAAACTGGTCTTAAGGTCAATGTTATGAATTCCAGGGCAGAGTTAGAACTATATTTGTCAGGACAGTTTTTAATTGGTGGAGAAAATAAATTTCTGGGAGGAAAGACCAATATTAATCAACATCTGTTTAAAAGCAGTGTTTGTGCATTTTCTTCTCAGTAGTGGTATTTGTGCTTATTTGATTGGTATGCTCATCAAGAAGGAAGTATCGCTGATGTTAATTTTGATTTGCACAGTCTTTTGCTGCCAGTCAGAACCAGCTTTTCAAAAGAAAGAACTGATTGCAGAAATGAATTCAGCAACCTATAAGATGGATTTATTTTGGCATCCTAGAGAAGAATAATACCAGTTATAAACTGGTCAGTCAAAATGAATGGCAGTACAAGAGCATAAGTTTATTTTAAAGAAAGGCTTTGGGATTTCTTTTAGTTCTGTGTGACTTTATTCCTTACTTTTTTGATGAACACATCCTCCCTTCCTGTGTGTAGTTCAAGTTGGGCAGTCTTATTTTCTTGTGCCATTAACACAGTTGGATTTACAAAGTCAGCCTGTGTACAAATAGAGCTACATCCTTCTTCCACCGGAAAGGGGCTTCTGTCTATTTGTATAAAACTGCAGGGTGGGTTATTTTGTTCTGTTCCATTGTAAAGCTTTACTGTAGAGTACAGGTTCGTATATTATTAGATCAGTGATGGTTTTATGTGAGCCCCTTCCACTCTTTACTGTATAAATTTATTAGAATTTGGCTAGTCTGTTACAGGATTAATTAGCTTGAAGCTGTGCTTTGTGTTTAAATAGCTGGAAAATCACTTGACTTTTGCCTCTTGCCAAATGGCATTTGTGCTCAAACTATTGAAATACGAAGCACTGCTTTCTTCATGGTGAGGCTATTCCCTTACTGTATGAACTCCTTTAATGGGACTGCTATGAATTTAGATTATTTTTGTTTTCTTTTTTTTGGTGGGGGGCATTGATTTTGGTGATTGCATTGTAAAGACAAATGTGTATGGCCTTGATTTTGTGTTGATTTTTTCCCTTTATGTTTGTGAGAATGTTAATGTACTCTTACCTTCCTATATGGTACATGAAGACACAGAAGCAACTAGCTCCTCTGGGAACTGAGACAGCAACCACCGTCTTTCGTCCCAGAGTAGATACATAGAACTGCATGACAGATAATCCCAAAGGAAAAAGACTGTAAAGGAGTTGTTTTCCTTCAGTAATATTTAGTTCTGTCCTGCATACAATTCAGAGCTGGCATGGTGGTATGCTGGTGCTGTAGGTTGTTTTGAGGTACATGGACACCTCTTCCTCTTATTTGAAACTAATGACTTCCCTAGGTTGGTTTTTTTTTTTTTTTTCTTCTTGAAGTCTTGGAGCATGTGAGATTAACAAGGGGTATGTACTGTTGTAAAAAGTTTCACATGCTCTGTAACTTCTCCTGTCACCTTAGATGAAGGAAAGAACACAATGGATTCAGGTTACCTTCTTTTTGTCAAACCTGATGTTCAGGACCCTCTTACCTTTAAAGAATGGTTTTCAAATGTGGCATGACTTTATTCCCTAGGTATCATATGTAATCAAAGCATGTAGAAACAATAATGATGAAGTTGCTCTTAAGGCTAAATTGTCTAGCTTTAAACAAAGTCTCAAGAAAGGACTAAATGCCTTTTGTTTTTGTGAAAGTGTACCATCTTTAAAGTTGAAGGCAGAGGTCAACTGATGGGTCCTACCTCCCAAAATTACCATTGAACAGCGTAACAAGAAGAGTAATAGTTTGGAAGGAGCAGGATAACTCTGAAGCAGAGAGCGTTATTTACAGTTTTTACTCCTGGGGTCTTTCTATTTGTAAAAAAGACCACAGAATCAATCCATAGCCAGAACTGCATCCCTTTCTCATTAATTTTTATTATTACCTCAATCTTGGGTATGAACCAGAATCAATTGTTTTAGGCTTCCACAGTGCCTACCACAAAAGGTGAACCCTGCAGTAGAGAACTGACAGTCAAAAACCCCAAACCACAAGGCCGAGAGAGTACTGGGAAACAATATTGTCACATGTCAATATTGGGTGCACTGCCAAACTATTGTAAAGACTTGCATGTGTGCATGTGCATTTTGTGTAGTCATAATGTCAACAATAATTTTAAGGAAAAATCTGAAAAAGAAAAATGCATGTCTCTCAGGGATTATCTTGGAGCTGCAATCCTCATTGAAGCAGCAGTTTGAAAGAGCACAGATATACTAGTTTTTAAATCTAGTAATGGCTGTAACTGGCTAATAACTCTTGGGAGATGTGAACCTCATTGCAGCAGCAGAGGAGATGATGGGTCACACGAGGACTGCGGGAAGGCTCTTGCAAGCGGAGGTAGGCAGTCTGTGTTCGATGCAGCAGAGAAGCTGCCTGCCCATAGAGGGTTCAAAAGGCAGTGTCTCCTTGCTGAAGTGGTGGGCTGTGACAGAGTTGCTTACTTTTGTTTGTATGTGGGCCTTGCTAACCGTCACCTCATTCCTCTTAGTTCAGCTTTTCCCTCTCCTACTGGCTACTGCTGCTGCCTCCTTGACTCTGCCACCTGCTCCAGCGGTGCTGGTGAGAAGCCCAGCCAGGCCAGACTGTAGGGATTGATTGACCTGGTCTCTGATGTGCTCTGAGGCTAATGCTCTTTTTTCTAAGTCATGCCTGCCTCAGCAGCTGGGAATTGATGGGCTGGAAAGATTCATATGCATATGTAATGTGCTATTAAAATAATAATAGTAAAGCATCTGTTTAAATGTTTGTAGAGCTGAATCTATGTGGACATTTGTTTATAGAATTGAATTTGCGCTGGATGTTTACCATGAACAGGGCTATCAAAGTTAGTGAAACTTGGACTGGATCCTGTGGTAGAAATGCCTACAATCCTTATGTTGTTTAATGAACAAACAGCTGAATAATCCTGTTGCATAAAATAGTAGAGGGTTGTTCTGGCACTGTTTGTTTGATTATTTTATTTCATGAATTTGAGAAGATTAATCCATTAGCCCATTGATTCACATTGCGTCTTCCTTAACAGCTTTCTGGAAGGTTCCATGATTTCTTATTCTAGGTGCTTTCCAGTTATTCTTTTTTAAGCGTGTCCAATGCCTATCTTGCTTTTAGCAAGACTGTGGAAATTTAGGGGGGCAGAGCAGGAGGAAATTTGTCTTTATTTTTTGACTTGGCTTTTGATGAGGAAAAAAAAGAATTTTTAGTCTGATCTGAGCAGAAAGTATGATGTGTGAAAGAAGTCCTTTAAAAGATCTGAGGAGATCTGATTTAAAGTTTCTGGTGCATCTGATTGCTAGGCGAACGTGGGTAGGTCAGATTTGTTTCCTGTACATGCTCCATCTCTTTTGCACTGTTGCATTTTTTTGGACGCTGCAGAAAGACAAGGCAGCAGTAATGTAGCTTAAGTAGGTTATTGCTCTATTAACTAACACATTTGGGAACTTATTTGGTTCAGGTCATCTTGTGCAATCTGCTCTGTGTGGTGAGGGATAGTCAAAATTATTTGTCCTTTCCTCTGACAGATTGCTTTTCTGACTTTTGCATGTACAAAACCAATGGGTGGAAGTGAAGAAGGGCAGGTGGGCCTGTTGCATGGGTTCTGGTCCCTTCTCTGTTCTGTTAACGTGTTTATTGGGGAAAGGGACTGCAATGAATGACTGCTGCACTGAGCGTGCTCAGCAGGATGCCTCACCACCAAAGTGTACCGTTAGTCCAGTTCCTCCATCTTTGGTGGGCTCATAAATTAACTTTCTTTTCCTTGGACGTACTCTCCTATGAGGAATCAACACTGTTTTCAATAAATTGGCAGTTGTGCTGCCTCACAAAAAGCAGTTAGTTGTTTCCTTTCTGCTTGCAGGATTCAAACAGGTTCTCTATACCTAGGACCAGCTGGCTTCTTTATGAAGCCATTTTAGGCCAAGTAACCTTTAACATAGAAGAGCAGTGCAAATGATCCTTTTAAAGAGGTAATGCCTTGATTGTTCTTGTTGTGAGAATATTAGGAAGCTAAAGGAAACAAACTGCTAATACCAATATGCCAAAGAGGCACCAGGAAAACTCCAGTACTTACAGGCAGTAATTCAGTGTCTCCTTAGCAGCCACCTTGTACACAGATATGATTTTTAGAATTATATTTTTAATACATGAAACATGTAATGAAATTCTGTTGTGACCTATAGAACTATCCTTCAATGTTATATGGCTCTAGTGGTTCAGCTGCATTGAATTTTGACAGATGTGCAGCATCAGGTAGTAGTAGGGTTTTGTTTGTCTCTTTTTTTAAAGCATAAACCGTGTTTTGGGATCTGCCCTTCTACATGATTAACTTTCTGATTAGCTTCTCAATGCTAAGATTTATTTTATTTGTTCCATATGGAATTTTCTGAAGTGTTGAGCACTTGCACAGCTTAAGTTATAGGATTATTGCTTCAAAACTGGCAAACAAGCTTTGTTTCTTTTTTTTTTTTTTTTTTTTTTTTTTTTTTGAGTTAAGTTGCTGTGAGGAGGCAAGAAGGCTGTCAAGAAAGGGTTACTTTCTAACATTTAGTAATGACATTTTTCCTAAATGTCAGATATCCCAAAACAGCTTGGTGTCCACCTTTTCTTTTTCTAATGGCTATTGATACTGCTCTGTGGGATTACCCCTGGAGGTGTATTTTCCTGGTGCTCTGAAGCTGGGGAAACCAACTTGCTCTTGGTATTGCCTGTCCATAGATCACGGGTTCTGTCTTCCCTCAAGTACAAGTCACAGGGGTGAGGCTGTTGTCTATGAGAGACTTGTAGCCAAATATTGCCAAAAATAAAAAGAATAAAAAAATTTGTCATCACCTGACAGTTTTGGTGAGGAAGCAATCGTTAAGGCAGAAGGTGGATTTATTGGATTAGTAAGTCATGCCCCTTGTGAAACTTCGTTGCAGTCTTCTCTCCTTAAGGTAGCTGAAAAAGAAAAGAGGGTACAATTTTAGGTGAAGGATTTTTGTCCTTTCCTTTATGATTCTACTGTATACAAACACCATGGACGCTAAAGGATTATGCTAGACATTGAAATTTCTGGCTGTTCTTGGGGTGGGTCCCATGTTCAGGAAATCTAAGCTTATATTTGAGTGTCTAGTGTTTCGAGTACTTAGAATTTGCTGGATGTCACCATAAAATGAGGTTTACTGATCTCAAGATCAGATAAAAGATACTTTTAGGACATAGCGATTTTGCCTGTTTAGTTTTTGTTCTTACAGGCCTGGCCCTTAGGACTACCGTGAATGAGAACTGTAGTCCCTGGCTAACACCCCTGAGGGTTTATAAGCCCCAGCGCTTCAGTTGAAGTATAAACAATCTTAAATAGCACCATTATGGCAGCGGTGTCTGTATTTCTGTTTTCCTATATCAAATAGCTCTTACTAAATATATTTCATCTTAGAAGGCCTTGGATACTCTACCGCCAAGATATTCTGTAGCTAAATATGGGCCTCAAGGGGGAAAAAATATATCTAGGTGCAAATATTTTATTGATGTAATATAGTACTGTTGGAAATGAAAAAAGGGAAAACAGTCTGATATTACACCAAACCCATAGCTTCAGTGTTGTATTGGCCTTTTCAAGGTCATTCACACAAAATTAATTTTGTAGTGAAGAGCTGACATGTGCTGTCAAACACTACAAGGAACCCAGCTGACATTTAAATATAGCTGATCTTAAAAATAATGTGGAATGCTATCCTTTCAGGAAGGGGAACCAACACAATTTTTAATAAACTAAATGTAGATCTTCTGGGTACAATGTGTATGACTATTTGTTTATGCACCTACTCTTTGAGAAGTGAGTATTAACATGAAGACTTGTTTTGTGAAGAAATAATTGTTATTTCATGCAGCTAAACTGAACAATTTCTCTGACAGCACTGAACCTGAAAATCTGATTTTTACTGCTGTCCCCGCCTCTGCCCCCACCCCAAGAATTTGCTGATAGATTTTAAGTCTTCGAGCAAACACAAGTGGAGACAAGAAGAAATTTTGTTTATAAATTTCTAAAAGAGACTTCTGCAAAGTATTTTACAGAACAGGTGTTCATTGTATTGAGTGCAGTGCTATTCGTAGTAGGATCTTTTTAAATTTTTCCCTACAAAATGCTATTAATGTTTTTTAAAACTTTCTATTTTCATGGATGTGGTGGTGTGTGTGCATTCTGACCTTGCGGTAGTTGAGTAGCTAGTGCTGAAAATATTAGGCAGGGACACGGATAAGAGAGAATGTGTACTGTTTGATCACTCTTGAAATATTAATCATGGGGAGGGACGCTTGATCAGGGACTATAGGGATAGGATGAGTGGTAATGGTTTTAAGCTGAAAGAGGGTAGATTTAGATTAGATATTAGAAAGAAATATTTTACTGTGAGTATGGTGAGACATTGGAACAGGTTGCCCAGGGAAGTTGTGGATTCCCCATCCCTGGAGGTGTTCAAGGCCAGGCTGGATGAGGCTTTGAGCAACCTGGTCTAGTGGAAGGTGTCCCTGCCCATGGCAGGGGGGTTGGAACTAGATGATCTTTAAGGTCCCTTCCAACCCAAACCATTCTGTGATTCTATGCTAAGCCTTTCTGTTCTGATGTTACCTTATGTATATCTGTATCTCTCATATACATACAATGGATAAAAGGAAGAGCTTACCTTTGTCTCTTGTAAGGTTGGTATAAGCATTCCATCTCAGATTCCTTTCTTAACACTGTAGATGTTACTGCAAAGTGCAGGTTAACTTGAATTTACATGATGATTGGTAAGCATGGGAATGTCTCACTTTATGTCCTGTTCTCTTTAAAAACAAAACCA